AGAAGAAGAAGAAGAAGAAGAAGAAGAAGAAGAAGAAGAAGAAGAAGAAGAAGAAGAAAGAGGATCTGTCTGGGAACTCTCAGGGTTCAAGATCTTCAAGCCAGAAGATCTGAAGAAGGTTGGGCTCTACAAGGGTGTCCCTGGGGAAAGGAGGCTCCTTGGGACGGGCGCTGGAGCTCGGAGGAGGCTGGGTCCACCCTGAGGATGGTGGGTGACCTCGGAAGGTTGAAGGGCCAGCTTGATAGAGACAGGTTGCCCACACACCCCTGCTGCCCATGGAGGTTTGTGGCCCTGACCTCTCAGCACATCTGGTGTGGCTGTTGCCTTCTCCACATCTGCCTTCACTTAGATGTGAGGCTCATATAAACAGCCATGACAAGTTGCTGAAATCCAGGCTCTCTAATTATAGAAATTGGAGGTAAATATCCCCTTCAGTCCGTTGTATAGTCTTTCTTTCTTTCTTTCTTTCTTTCTTTCTTTCTTTCTTTCTTTCTTTCTTTCTTTCTTTCTTTCTTTCTTTCTTTCTTTGTTCCTTCCTTCCTCACCCCTCCTCTTTCTTTCTTTTTCTTCCTTCCTTCCCTCTCTCTTTTTCTCTTCCTTCTCTCTTCCTCTCTCTTTCTCTTTCTTTCTCTTCCTTCCCTCACTCTCTTTCTTTCCTTCCCTCCCTCCCTCTTTCTCTCTTTCTTTCTCTTTCTTTCCTTTCCTTCCTTCCCTCTCTCTTTCTCTCTCTTTTTCTCTCTTCCTTCCTTCCCTTTCTCTCTCTCTCTCTCTTTCTTTTCTTTCTCTCTCTCTTTTTCTACCTTCCTCCCCCCTCTTTCTTTCTTTCTTTCTTTCTTTTTCTTCCTTCTTTCCCACTCCCTCTTTTTCTTTTCCTTCTCTCTTTCTCTCTCTTTCTCTCTCTTTCTTTTCCTTCCTTCTCTGTCTTTCTCTCTTTCTCTTTCTCTTCCTTCCTTCCCTCTCTCTTTCTCTTTCTTTCCTTTCCTTCCCTCCCTCTTTCTCTCTTTCTTTCTCTTTCTTTCCTTTTCCTTCCTTCCTTCCCTCTCTCTTTTTCTCTTTCTTTTTCTCTCTTCCTTCCTTCCCTTTCTCTCTCTCTCGCTTTCTTTTTTTTCTCTCTCTCTCTTTTTCTAGCTTCCTCCCCCCCTCTCTTTCTCTTTCTGCAAGAAAACCACCAAGCTCAGAGCTCAGAGAGCACTAAGGATCTCAAGGCTCTTTTCCTACTCCTCCCTCCCTCCCTCCCTCTGAAAACCCCACTCCCCACACTAGCATTGATGGCGTTACCTATTTGGGTCATAAAACATCTGCAAGTAAACCACCAAGCTCAGAGAGCGCCGAGGTTGAACACAGTTCAACCCTGAGCTACAACTATTATTTTCTACCAATCCAATAATAACACCCCAGGAAGTAATTTGAAAGACCTTCTCAGACAACCCAGATCAAGGCTGGCCCAACTCATGCCCTCAACCATGGGTTGGAGGAAGGAGCACCCAACCCAGAACAGGTTGAGTGCATGGATGGAGTGCAGATGTGTCTTGCAGGCTTACCTTGACAAAACAGCTGTTGAGAGACAGGTTGTGACGAATGGAGTTCTGCCATGCTCGTTGATTGGTTCGATAGTAAGGGAACTTCTTCATAATGAAATCGTAGATGCCAGAAAGGGTCACCTTGTTGGAAGGACTCTGCTGAATGGCCATGGCGATTAAAGCTATGTAGCTGCCCAGAGAAAGAGGAACAAATGAAGAACATCAAGACCACGGTGGGTGCAAAGAGGAAGATATAGAGAGACGCGAAAAATGGGATAATTCAGTAGGCCTTGTAGCACGGAGGCTGCTGTCTTGAATGCATTGAATAAAGATTAAGTAAGTCTCCTTGAACATAAAGGACTGAACAAGCTTTGGACTCAGAAGCTTGATTAATTCAACCGGATCGTTTCTGAAACTCCCAAATCAGTGGCCACATCAAGTCTTGAAACACAGAAAGAATCATGTAGAACTCAATTTAATCTACTGAATCAAACCGTAGCTGGCTTCACATCTTGTGGCAAAGCATGATTATTTTTAAGTTTGATCTGCTGATTAGATTAGATAGATGAATGGTAGATAGATGAAAGATAGATAGATAGATAGATAGATAGATAGATAGATAGATAGATAGATAGATAGATAGATAGATAGATAGATAGNAGAGAAGGAAGGAAATAAAAGGAAAGAAGGGGATGGGAAAAAGAAGAAAGGAAGGAAGAAGGGGATGGAAAAAAGAAGGAAGAAAGGAAGGAAGGAAAGAAGGGGATGGAAAAAAGAAAAGAAAGGAAGGGGGAGGATGGAAAAAGAGAAGGAATGAAATAAAAGGAGGAAAGAAGAGGATGGAAAAAAGAAGGAAGGAAGGAAGGAAGGAAGGAAGGAAGGAAGGAAGGAAGGGGAAGGATGGGATGGGAAAAAGAGAAGGAAGGAAATAAAAGGAAAAAAGGGGATGGAAAAAAGAGAAGGAAGGAAAGAAGGGGATGGAAAAAAGAGGAGGAAAGAAGGAAGGAAGACGTATTTTCCCAATGTTCCAACTCAGCATCCAGTCTCCTTGGTAACTTCTCGGATCCCATTATCTGCGTAGGGCCTACTACCACTCTTCCATCCACCTTGAAGTATTTCCATCCCTCCCAGAATTCAAGCCGTCTTCGGCAGTGGGATGCCCCCCCGTGTCACCCGAAGACCAACCAGAGTCTTACTGCCTTCTCCAGCAAGCCCAACAGAACCCCCCTCCAAAAAAGACGCTTTTAACCCTGTCGGGAGTCTCCCACAAAAACTGGAATTCGCTTTGCTGCGTGTCCTTTTTGCGAGCATTTTCTGCTCAAAGTGTCCAGAATTGAACCTGTGGCGCATCCAGGGGGTGGTATTTATTCTCTTGCAGATGGTATGGGGATCGCAGGACTGGCAGAGGGTCTGGAGACGAAAGAATGTAATCAATGCTAAATTTAATTTCGGAGTCAGATTTTCCGATGTTTGGGCTTCGTCGGCCGCCGGCAGCTCTGGGAAAAAACTCGCCGGGCTCCGGAGAGTGGAGCCTTTGGGATGCCAAAGTCTCAGCGGGGCAGGAGATTTCGGGGAAGGTGGCCTCGGGGCCAGGCAAGGCGGGCAAGGCCTCTCTTCCTCCAGCCGTCCTTTTCTCCCTTCTCACACTCCGCCTCCTTCTCCTCCTGTAATTCCCATTTTCGAACAAATCCAGCATGGATTCACAGCCGGTGGCGAAAGTCCAGTAATTTCCTTTGCCTTTGTCGTTGCCTTCTGCCCGGGGAACCTGCGTTTGGTCAACCAAAAACGACAACAGCCAATGCTCTCCGTCATTGATGTTCAAAGAAGAAGAAGAAGAAGAAGAAGAAGAAGAAGAAGAAGAAGAAGAAGAANGGGAAGGATACTGTAAAATCTCCATTTCCTCCTCACTCCAGGGGAAGGATACTATAAAATCTCCATTCCCACTTCACTCCAGGGGAAGGATACTGCAAAATCTCCATTCCCGTCCCACTCCAGGGGAAGGATACTGTAAAATCTCCATTCCCACTTCACTCCAGGGGAAGAATACTGCAAAATCCCCATTCCCACTTCACTCCAGGGGAAGGATACTGCAAAATCTCCATTCCCATTTCACTCCAGAGGAAGGATACTGCAAAATCTCCATTCCCACCCATCTCTGGGGCCAGGCAGAGGTGGCATCTGACAGTTCTCCGAACTACTCAAAATTTCCACTACCGGTTCTCCAGAACCCGTCAGAACCTGCTGGATTTCACCCCTGGTACAATTCTGACGCTACCTTCTGATCGGATCTGGGATGCCCCTGCAAACTCTTTCCATGCATTTCAATACATTTTAAAGTATTTTACATTTTTAATACATTTTAAAGTGTTCCATTTTTTAATATATCACTTTATTGATTCATACTCCACAGGTCAACGGAATGGAATTACCAATAAATTAGGGGAGAAGGGGGGGAGAGTAATTTGCCTGTCCCAAACTCATTTATAGAACTGGCCCCATAGACACACTCTCTGAAACTTACAGTAATACTTACATTAGGGTTTTTTTTTAAAAAAAACTCAAACAAGCAAAAAGCGAAAGCATTTTTTAAACCAGGGTTAAATGCCTACAAAACCCCCATTGCATTGAAGTTATTGCTTGTACGGCAACAAGGAAGAAGTTGCAAAAATGTACAAAAACGCACATTTGAAGGAAAAAGTGCACATGTAGACACAAACACAAAATATTTGGGTTGACTTATGCACACCGAGGAAAGGGACATCAACCTCAAACTTTAATCAGGACAAGCATAAAAATGTAACCGGCTTTGTGGGAATACCATCCCGAAAATACACCAGTTGAGAGATGAAAAGAGATAGCCACAATAACAGAAAAGGAAGGGAAGAGAGGAGCAGTGGAGAAGAGAGGAAAGGGGAGAGGAGGAAGGAAGAGGAAAAGAAGAGGAAGGAGGGAAGGGATAGAAAGAGAAGGAGAGAGGGTAGGAGGGGGAAGAGGAAGGAACTCATGTAGCTAAGCAAAAGGAAGGAAGAAGGAAGGAAGGGGAAGGATGGAAGAAAGAGAAGGAAGGAAATAAAAGGAAAGAAGGAGATGGAAAAAAGGAAGGAAGGGGATGGAAAATAGAAAAGAAAGGAAGGGGAGGATGGAAAGAAAGAGAAGGAATGAAATAAGGAGGAAAGAAGAGGATGGAAAAAAGAGAAGGAAGGAAGGAAAGAAGGGAATGGAAAAAAGAGAAGGAAGGAAAGAAGGGGATGGGAAAAAGAGAAGGAAGGAAATAAAAGGAAAGAAGGGGATGGAAAAAAGAAGGAAGGAAGGAAAGAAGGGGATGGAAAAAAGAGAAGGAAGGGGAAGGATGGGAAAAAGAGAAGGAAGGAAATAAAAGGAAAGAAGGGGATGGGAAAAAGAAGAAAGGAAGGAAGAAGGGGATGGAAAAAAGAAGGAAGAAAGGAAGGAAGGGGAAGGATGGGAAAAAGAGAAGGAAGGAAATAAAAGGAAAGAAGGGGATGGGAAAAAGAAGAAAGGAAGGAAGAAGGGGATGGAAAAAAGAAGGAAGAAAGGAAGGAAGGGGAAGGATAAAAGAAGGAAGGAAGGAAAGAAGGGGATGGAAAAAAGAGAAGGAAGAAAGGAAGGAAGGGGAAGGATAAAAGAAGGAAGGAAGGAAAGAAG